GTAATCATTGAAGCTGTCTTTAACCTTTAAAATGATTTTAGTGACGCTCACATGATGGCATCAATGGGACACATCTCCTTAATAGTCTGGACTGAGTACCCCTTAATTTCAACATCTCGTAATCGGCCTGTCATATATCTTCGACAGCAGTAACGATAGCCTGTGAAAAAGGAAAGAAAATATATAATAATAAATAATAGTAATAAATAATTAAAATTAAAGATGAAAAACAGAAAGGCAGCAAGTACATACCGTCAGAACTGTTCGCAGTCAGACAAATAGTGAGTGCGATCACCATCACCATGGCTTTGATTGTCACCATGTCTTTGTTTCAGTTGACAACAGTGATTCTGATGATAAAGTTGTCTCGCCTATCTTCAAGTGGAGTGAAAGGGGGTGCACTGTTGAGGAGCTTCATTTATACCTCAGCTCTGACCACATCAGTGGTGCTAGACTGTCACGAAAACCCCCCTAATTTTTTTTATTTATAGAACCCAAAATTCTGTCCAACCAAGAGTGGAAACGTTTAAATGGTAAAACCTTACATAAAACCACCACAAGGAAAAAAAAAACCCTTCTAATTAAAAAGTACTTTCTATAAAATAAGCGATCAATTAAACTTGTTACAACTTTGCTTGTATTTAGGGTAGGGCACAATAATTATGCATCATATTATATATTGTATTTATACAAAGAAATTTGTAAAATACAAAATTATTAAAACTGTCACGTAAAAAAGAGTGTGGTTAAAAAATATTGCTCGCTGAACTGAATTGAAATAAAAGCAAAATACAGAAGCTTTTTGAAAAAGCTTTTTATATTATTCAGTGCTCATTGTGTCATATGTTGACCAAATATAAACTAGAAGTTGTAATTATAGGAAAACTGCAAAGAGACATATTAGGTCACACATGTTAGACATGTGACCCGTGTGACCTGCATCAACACACCCTGATAAGACAGAGCCAGCCGTGCAACATGGGACGTTTTATAAAGCGTCATTCCTCTTTGTGACTCTTGACATAAACTTAAAAGAGACATAAAAATAATTATATATATATATATATATATTTATAAATAGATATAAAGTATGTGACCTTTAGATACAAGTGGAGATAAGAGTTTAAAGAGGATGAAAGCTTCACTGAAGACCTCCGTGCTCTGACTTCACGTGGGCCGCTACAAGTGGGTTGCTTTGAGGTTGGATGTTCTTTTCTAGGTCAGAGGAACTTATTTTATACCCAAGACCCATGCAACAACGGTAAAGCTTTGCATCTGGAGCACTGAAATAGGTCATGATGCACTTATTGTAAGTGTAATTGCTTATCATGAAGTTTCCAACAAAACCACATCACCGAGTTCCTGCAGTTCGCAATCTCATAGTCAAACATTATTGAAAACTATATATCTATCTTTCTAATGCTTTTACTTTACTTATAATATTCTCAATAATGATATCGTTAGATAAGATATATTCATCACCCTCAAAAGGGGAGATTACTGCGTTACTTACAGAAGCCAAAACATTAAAAATAATATTATTAAAATTCAATAAAATAAATGTGATATCACAATAGAAAATGGATGGGGAAACTGAAATAAAAATCAATAAAACAAACTCATTTAAACAGAAAATACAGAAAAGTAAATATATTTTTGATTTTTCAAGACCATCTTAATTCAACAAAATTCGGTGAGAGAGTTTGCTGTCAGTGTAAATGTCCCTCCTGTTCCCCAGATGAAAGAGTCCCTCAAATAAGATAAGATGAGCTGAGATGAGACAACATAAGATAAGAAGAGATGAGACTGAGATGAGAAGAGATAACATAACATAACATTACATAAGATGAGATGAGATAAGATAAACTGTTTAATTAAAACAGAAAATACAGAAATGTGACAGCCATACAGAATTATACAGAATGGGACTTTGCTTTATTATTAAACTGTACAGCTAGCACTGTATCTTGTTGAATCCATTCCATGACAAATTAAGGCACTTCTGAATGCAAAAGCGGATCCAAACCGGTACTACAAAACAGAACAGTGCGATGTCTGTCACAGCAGGAGATGATCAAGTGTAACTAATGACATTGTTTGCTTTCTAACCATATTCGAGTAAGACATGGCAATACATCAACAGTAAAGACTTTGAAATTAGAAAACAAGCACTGAGAACTTTCAGTGAAGGTCAACAGCTAAGATGAAAACAGCTTGCGGTTATGCTTACAGATAGAAGCCCATGTCTTGTGCACATGGGCTTCTGATGTTATCTGTCTAGCAGTAACATCAACAGGATGTTTAGTACATCATGCTCCATCTTCTCGATTAGATTTAACTTATTTACAGTGATGACCTAGCTGGATATTGTACAGTAGACTAGCAAAATTACTTTAGAAATATTATGACAGAACATCTTCTAAAATTTGCAGCATTATTTTTTTTTTTGGGGGGGGGGGGGTTGTATTGCATTGTTACATTACAAAGCCAACCGAATCACATCCTCTGCAAAAAAAAAAAAAAATTGAGATCAGGAATGATCTTCGGCCTCTTCAACAGTTGCATAGGGAGTGAATGGTTTGTAGCAAAGGGCCACACACCACATACCACCGAAGCACACACAAACCGAACCACATGTAGTCTGGTTGGGCAAAACTCCCACGCACCCTCAAATATCTTTGGTAGGATAAAGAGTTGGTCCACTGTTGCACGACCAGGACGAAACTTGAATTGTTCCTCCTGTATCTGAGGTTCAACCACAGAGTCACTTTCTTTTTCAGTACCTTGGCATAGACCTTCCCAGGAAAACCGTGGAGTGTGACCCCTCTGTATTTTGAGCATACCTTCTAGTCCCCCTTCTTAAAGATGAGAACCAATCCAGTCTGCCAATCCAGAGGCACCGCCCCAGATCTCTATGCGATGTTGCAGAGGTGTATCAACTAACGGCCCTACAGTATCCAGAGCCTTCAGGAACTCAAGGCAAACCATGTCCACCCCAGGGGTCCTGCTACCAAAGAGTTGTCTAACTGCCTCAGTGGCCTCGCCAAACTCCAAGAAAATGGGGATGGAGGAGGGGACTTTTGTACCATGCAGTAGTGGAGTACAACATACAGTTCTGGCTACGTGATTAAATGTTTTAACACAAGTTGAATAACAAACATACAGGACTGGACTGAGACAAAAAATCGACCCGGGTATTTTGACTAGAGACCGGCCCACCAGGTATTATAGGAAAAACATGTGCAGGTATATATGTATGTATATGTATACATATGTATATTTAGTGTGTACATGTGTGTGTGTACATGTCTATAAATAGGAATAGTAGTGTTACAATAGCTATATCAAGCTATATAGTTTATGTCTTCCATATTTCCAACCATATCCATAATCACATACTGTGTGTGCTACCATTGTATATAGTGTATTATCTTACTTTTTTTCATCGATTGTACTTATTTGTATTTTTGTATTTCCTTCTGATATCTGTACCTGAGCTGAGGTGATGCAAAAATTTCCCCGTTGTGGGATCAATAAAGTCTTATCTTATCTTAGAAAAGGATCCTGGTGTTATTTGTCTCTCAGAAAAAGTTCATAACTTCCCTTCAACTCATTCATGTCACCTAAAAGGTAAACCTGTTTCTCCATCACCTGTTCAGCTCTGATGATTCAGTAAGGACATCTCCTGGTTTCACCTTCATGTTTCCCTCTCACCAGATAACCAAACCGATATCATGACAGCAGCTTTTACAGGTGTGGCTCCAGCAAACATCAGCTGATACTAGAAATTAATATTAAATAAATTCTAACAACAGCTGATCAAGCTTAAACATGCTGCTGTTGTTTAGCGTCTGCCGGTTTCCTCTTTCTGGCGCAAAGTGGGCGATAAACAAACAAGAGAGAAAAGCCGATCAGCTGATCATTGATCAGTTTCATGATTGAAGTAGAAACAGGAGAGAGAGGGGGAGAATGAGAGAAGAAGAGGCAGCTGTGCAGCTTAAAGACAGAATAAATCCAGCTTTGTGTCTTTTTCATTGTAGCTGAAGTCCGGGACAAATTGTGCTCCTTTTCAGCTCAACACCAAACGCATAATATTTTCTCTGAATACGAGAGGATTCCGTTTTTTATGGGAAGTTTGATAACTCTAATAACTAACCTTTATAAATAAAATAAGATAAAACAAGTTCAACATCATTAACATCACAGCACCCGCCCAGCTGTATATAAACTCCGCCATGCTAGCTAGTAGCAGTACTACTTATTGTAACTGACTGTAAAAAGTCAGCATAACGAAAATAAACTCCACCTAAACTTGGTTTATATCTGAGCCAGATAGACTGCAGTCATAACTTCTTACCTGAAGTTCAGTTCACCGCCTCGGGTCTCTGCTCCTCCTGCCTTTCCCTCATCCACCTGCCAGTGTGTTGCACCTGCTGGCCTCCACCACTTGCTAATGTTACTGAATCTGTGGAAGCTCCGCAATAGCCACCACCAAACAACTGAGTTATTTTTACACATCTCCCAGCATCTGGCCAATCCACCACCTTTCATTGTTTATACCGTTACGGGAAAAAACCGAAAAAAACAAAACAAACCATTGGCCCATAAAAATGAAAAATCACCAGTCCAGCTATGCAAACATATGCTAATTATTATTACATAGCAACTTTTAAAAGATGTTACATGTTCATATTATTATTTTTAAACTCTTACTATCATGAAAGTAAACAATTTTGCATAATGTACACAGAGGAGGGGGTTTCGGTGGTTGAAAAAAAGACGAGTCACATTTCCCGTTTGACTCAGACAGGGTTTTCCACCTCCCTGACCTCTCGTGGGACATTTCCCCTTCCATCTCACACAGTATTTAAACTTCTCTGCCACAGCCGGTTACAATCATTTCATCACTGACTCCCTGGGAATCCTGATCAGAAAACTGATTCACTGCTGATTTACTGAGGATGGCAAAGTTCGCCGTGCGTGTCTCCGTACTGCTGGTGTTGCTGCTGGTGGCACTGGATGAAAGCAGTGAGTATGGCTTCAGCGATTATTCACTGAGACGTTATTATAATGTTTTTTGTCATATTGTCATGTAAAATGCTGTTTTCACTGAAATGTCTCGTTCTTTCCTTCAAAGGTTCCAATAAATATTGCTGCACACGGTACCAGCAAAACCCTGTCTCAGTAAAAAGGCTGAAAAGCTACACAGTCCAAGATGACAACTGCAAACTCAGGGCAATAATGTAAGTGGGGAAAATATCGTAACTGCATCTAAAACACATAATCCACACTGACTGCCAGCTCTGCTGTGATACTAATGTCTGAACTTTTTTTAAACATCAGTTTCAAGACTGAGAAAAACAGACATATCTGTGCCAATCCTGAAGACGAGTGGGTGAAAATTGCTATTCAGTTACTGCCACGGTAAGATCAATTCCTTACCCTATCAGTAGCTATCAAACACCAGAAGAAGAAGAAAAAAAAACACTGTTTCAAGATTATTCTTGTGTTTCTGATTTCTAATCCTTTCCTT